TACCAAAAATCTCAATAGGACAATTCCTACATACAAGTGAAGTTGTCACTGAACCCGATGCAGGAGTATCAACAACCATGCTACCTCGCATACCAGATATGTCCAGTTTCAACCTCTCAGCACAATCCAAAGAAATGAAAGAATGAGTTGCACCAGTATCAATAATTGCAACTAAAGGTGTGCCATGAATAAAACACGTACCTTTAATCAATCGATCCTCTGGAGTAGTCTCAGATCCAGACAAAGCGAACACTTTTCCACCTGACTGATCCTTCCTAGGCTTAGGACACTGCGGACGAATGTGACCTTCTTCGCCACAATTGTAACAAGTAATAGACTTCCCTTTGCAATCAATAGACAAATGACCAGCCTTTCCACATTTATAGCATTTCTTCTCATCACTCTTGCAATCTCGAATGTGATGACCAGACTCACCACACCTGTAGCATCTGATAGGAGCCTTAGAATCTCCCCCACTAGGCCTTTTCCAACCGCCTGATCTCTGGTTATCTCTACCATATGGCTTGCCACGGTCCATATGTTGCTTTCCTCTTTTATCAACAGCCCCACGAGAGTGAGACGACCTATTCTTGGTAATATCTTCTTCCAAGATCCTGCTACAATCCACCAGATCAGAAAATCTACGAATACGCTGGTACCTGATTCCCTGCTTAATCTCATCTCGGAGACCATTCTCAAACTTGATACATTTAGAGAATTCTCCAGCCTCATCATTGTTGTAGTGTGCATAATACTTTGCCAGCTCAGTGAACTTAGTAGCATACTCACTAACCGTCAGATTGCCCTGCTTAAGCTCCAAAAACTCAATTTCCTTTCTTCCCCGAACATCTTCAGGAAAGTACCTCCTCAGAAAAGCCCTTCTGAAGTTAGCCCAAGTCATTGCCTCTCCATCCTGAACCATTTCAGCCCTGGTTGCAACCCACCAGTCGTCGGCTTCTTCTGCCAACATATGCGTACCATATCTGACTTTCAGATCTTCAGCACAATCGATCACACGGAAAATCCTTTCGATTTCCTTCAGCCACTTCTGAGCACCTTCAGGGTCATGTGTACCTTTGAACAACGGAGGGTTGTTCCTTTGGAAATTTCCCAATTGCCTATCAGCACCAATCACGCCTCCAGTTGGGTTTCCAGCAAGTACACCAGCTAACATCCCCAAAGCCTCAGCGAGTGCAGCATCATTTCGTCCGTTACCTCCAGCCATATTCCTGAGAATTAAAACATACTCCACATCAGAATACAGTATCGACAGTGTTGCCTTACACTAATCGCATACAAAAGGAATGACTGACTCAAGACTCTGGTCGCAACGACCGACTATGCTCTGATACCACTATTGTAACACCCTCTAAAAACCCCGAATAAATTTTCGCAATTAATTAAAATCATATTTTCAGAGTACATGTACTAACGAGGATGCTACAATTCTCTTTTAATAAAACAAATTCCTGTCATGCATAATCTTAGTAGTAACTCATACATGTTTACACAGCGGAATAATTTATTTAATAAAACCAATGTCATAATATTTTTCAAAATCATCAGGGATTAACACCTGGAAAAATGTCAACATCATATTATAACAAATATAAGGAAATAAACGAGTCTGACTAAAGCAGCTCGACAAACAAACGTTCTCGGAGTTACAACTACCAGAGCATGACCCGGACAATACTAAAACGGAAATAAACTAGAAACCACAAGCCTTCGCCAAGCACCTGAACGAAGCTCCTCAATCTGAAATATTCAACAGTAAGGGTGAGCATCTCAATTCTACATTTGATTATACGTTCATAACAATCAGTTCAGGAAATCATAAGCATCACCCAATAATTAGCATATTTCATAGTTCACAAAAACCTTTACAATTCATATACCCATGATATATTACTTTTCATATCTGCAAATAATCATCAAAACATCGTCAACCATTTAGCAATCATACGTGCATACAAACAATCAAATACAACATTGGAAACATCATCCATTCATGTTATATTCAAGGTAATGCAACACACCCATGCATGTGGTACCACTTCACCGCCCCATTAAATCTCGGGTCACGGATAACTCACCGTTCCATTATATCGCGGACACGGCTACCACCTCAACGTTCCATTAAATCGCGGACACGTATATTGGCCACCATGTTAATTCCACACAATGGGAATTAACAAATGCAACATGATATGTAAGTATGTAACACTCAGCATACTATGAACATCAATCAACATATCATGCAACATCAACAACGTTAAATCATAACAAGATATGGATAGCATGTAATCACTCAGCATACTATTTAAACATCAATCATATCAAGTCATATCATAATTCATGCTCGATAACATTATCCAAAAGCATGGCAATAAAATCCACAATAACGCACAAAAAGCAAAATTCAGAAAAATCAACACAGCAGAGCAACACGGGTGCCCGTGTTGTGCAACACGGCCCGTGTTGCTGAACGCGTCCAGAAAATACACATTTTCTTTTTCTCATTACAGGGGACCTAACACGGGTGCCCGTGTTGTGCAACACGGCCCGTGTTGTGCAACCAGAAGAACAACCAGAAGAGCAACACGGGTGCCCGTGTTGTGCAACACGGCCCGTGTTGCTGAGCGTGTACAGAAATTTCCTGTATCTGCAGCAGCTCAGAAACAGCAGCCAAACGCGGGAAAACGCCAGCCAAAACGCGCATTTCGGTACCCAACGACATCGAGTTTGTATAAATCAAAACAACACCTCAATTTCCTAAATTCCAACAATCGTTATAGTAACCTTAACCGTGATTACTCGTCCTTTTTAGGGAATTTCTGACAACATTAAGGTTATCCCTAAACCTCTAAGGTAAATTCACGATCATGCAGATATACTCCCAATCCACCATTTGGAACCTAAAATTCCTAATCGATTCATAAAAAAATTGGGAACCTAACCCTTTTCTAACAAGGTTCAATCCTAAGGGTACCGATTCCTACTAACCTATAACAATTGGGGTTTTTCCCTACGATTACCCAAATCAACCGTACATAAACCCATAAACAAAGGTAAATCGAGTAATAGCCCCCCTTACCTTATCAATTAGCAGCTTTGAACTTTTTGAGCGATGGTCTTCGTTCTTCGTCCTTCGTTCCTTCAGAGCTCTATTTCCCCAAATCCCAACTTCTGTTTATCGTGGAAAAAATGAGAAAGTAACTTGAGTTCCAAAACATAACTTTACTTCTTTTTCACCCCCACTCTTTACTAACAACATCCGAGCCCAATAACTTAAAAAACTCATCATTTCTTATTTCTTTTATTTTCCTCCATATTTCAAAATAAATAATTCCTCTTTATTTTATTAATTCCAATAAAATAATTTCCCAAATTTAAATAAATTAAATAATTGAAACTGGGGTGTTACAATTCACATTGAAGAAACCGTGGGTGCAATATACGGTTTAGGGTTTTGAGAGTCTTTTAAGGTCTTTGTATTTTATTTGTATGCCACTAATGTACCTTTTAATACATTGAGGTTGAGTGATTGTTCTCACTCATGAGCTTTTAAGCAAATAGTTGAGTATTGTTCTTAGTTAAGCTTTTAAGAAAAACTAAGTATTGTTTATTTGAAGTGTAATCTTCTATTTGGTTCTTTTGTTCTAGTCACTGATTTGTGACTGTATGTATCACTGAGGTGATTGGAAATGAAAAGGAGTTCTCATATCTAGGAGGTTCTTAGATAAAAATTGCATAAAGTATTGATTAGGTGATAAGTTGTAAACTGAGATTGTTTAGACTTTGAACTAATATTATTATAGTGGATTTCCTTTCTGACTTGGTAGCTCCCAAAGTAGGTAACGTTGCACTAAACTGGGTTAACAATTGATTATGTTGTTTAATTTTCTGTAATTTATTTCCTGCATACTCTTCAATTCTAGCAAGTGTTTTCTGTCAGCAGACAGTGGCATAACATCTGTCTTGACATTGTGTTGATGTTCGAACATCAATCTTCATATTTATATTGCAAATGTCAGTATTTCAATAAAGATAAAGTTGAAAGGTGATTGTCAATTATTTCTTATCATGCCGCTTTGACTAAAATACAACATGAAAAAATTAGCAGTTATATATATATATATATATATATATATATATATATATATATATATATATATATATATATATATATATATATATATATATATATATATATATATATATATATATATATATATATATATATATATATATATATATATATATATATATATATATATATATATATATATATATATATATATATATAGATGTTGAGAATGATGCCAAAAACATCATCCATAATTTAGTGAAAATTATAGAATTAAGAGAGCTAAATATACATGTTTTTATCTGTACACCTTTATTTTGTTCAACTCTAATGCCATTTTTTAAACTAAACATCCATTCATTTTTTTCATACTTATGTTGTCCATCTAATTAAGTATGTGTAAAACAGTTGAATAGTTCAATATTTTGTAACTGATTTTTCATCTTCATCATAGTTCAATATTTATTGAGAATGTTCTAAGGGGATGAAAATGTTCTACTAATAACTAATACAAGTCTTGTTTAACTTGTAGACTCCACCGCAAAATGTTGATTCTCAACGTTCTTCTTTCCCCATTCGCTATCAATCTAGTTACGTAGGAGAGTTGAAAAATCCATAATAATCTTTATCTTAATATTTTCATAATATCATATTAATATTTTTTGTGATCATTACAAATTCTTATCACAAAAATATAATTGAGAACTTTCATAAAACAAGAATTGTCTTCATCGCCAAATTTGACTACAAATTCGATTCCAACAAACAACACCGACAAAAAAACAACAATATCTTATTGTTTTCTTATCTCATCATTTCATTAGTATTTTCTTCAATGATTCATTTCCCATGTATAAAAAATAAAACTCTCCACAAAAATAATTTCCAAACTCTCATTCATAGAGAAAAAATGGAGCGTTTGCCACAAGATTTAGTCTCCAAAATCCTCATAAAATTACCAGCAATAGAGTTATCAAAATGCAAATGCATTTGCAAATCATGGTTAGATCTCATAACTAATCCTCAATTTATTACTAATTATTATACTGTCTACAACAATCAACAAGAACATCTCTTAGTCATTCGTAGACCTTTTCTATGTGGTCTCAAAACATATATTTCTCATGTTTCATGGAACTTTAATGATTCAAAAAAACATGTTTTGTCTGAGATTTTGTGTCCACCTTATGAATTCAGTTCTGACCATAAATATTGGACTGAGATAATGGGTCCTTGTAATGGTGTATACTTTCTAGAAGGTAATCCAAATGTGTTGATGAATCCTTCTTTGAGAGAGTTCATGGTTTTGCCTCAATCCCATTTTGCAGCTCCTGATGGATTTTATTCTTTCACTGAGTATTATGGTTTTGGGTTTGATCATAAAAGTGATGATTATAAAGTTGTGGTGTTGAAGGATCTTTGGTTGAAGGAAACAGATGAGAGAAAAAATGGGTATTGGAATGTTGAGTTGTATAGTTTAAATATGAATTCTTGGAGGAAGATTGATGCTGAAGATTTGCCTCTTCCTTTTGATATTTGGGGTTCTTCTAGAGTTTTCACTTTTGTGAAAAGCTGTTGTCATTGGTGGGGTTTTGTTGATGGTGACATAGGAGATGTTGTTTTAGCATTCAACATGGTTGATGAAATGTTTAGGAAGATAAAAGTGCCCAAAATAGAGTATTCTTGTTTTTCAGGAGACTGTTTTAAAACTCTAGCACCTTTTGATGAATATGATACTATTGGTGTTGTTGTCTATCCTGTAAGAGGAATAGAGAAATGTTTTGATGTTTGGATGATGAAGGATTATTGGGATGAAGGGTCTTGGATTAAGGTGTATAGTGTTGGACCTGTGCCTGTGATTTATAAGCTTGTTGGGTTTTATGGAAGTAATAGGTTTTTATGGAAAGATAGCAATGAGAGGTTGGTGTTGTATGAATCTGAGAAGGGGAATGTAAGGTGTCTTGAGGTTTATGGGAAGTATGATTCTATAAGAGGTGTTAGATACATGGAAAGTCTTGTTTCACTTCAAAGAGGAAGAGAAAGTGGTCGTCAATGTTTTTCATGTAGTTTGGTTCCAGATCCTCTACTGAATTTGGGGGAGTAGTTTTCTGTTCTTTTACCTGACTAGTTTAGTTTCAGATTATTTGTTTAATGTGTTTTACTATCTAAATTCTCCTTGATGAAAGATAATAAAGTTCGGTTGTGTTTCATAAATCTTTGATTTTTCATGGACATTCAACAATCTTCTATGCTTTTGAAACTTAGTTCTTAAGAGAATGTTGGATTTTCTGAACAGACTAAAAGTATTAGTTAGTATATTAGATACTTGTAGATCAAAGTAACAATATACTAGCTTGATCTCTTAGGTTTTGATAGCTTCATTGATAACAACTTGAAACTTTGCTTGAAATACTATGACATTTTTATTTATTAATCATAAATTGATTTTTCATCTCTTCTATAAATTGTTGAACCTCATGCAAAAGCCAACACGTATAGAAACAAGAAAAAACCATTGTCAATAGCATTTTTTTTAAAAGATAAAAGGCAAAATATTATATTGGAGTTTGAATTTGTTGGAAATAATTCATATTTAGAAGCTATTGTTAGAGTCTGAAGTAGAAGATGTTGAGGTTTTGTCTCAGAGTATGTTTAGCTTCTGAGGTTCTAGTTGTTTTGTTTACTTAACTTTTGTTAAGGCCTACGTGACAATCTAATTTGTGTGTATAAATAGACTAGTAGTAGTTGTCTTTTAAATCCTAATCATTTACACTTGTGTAGCTGTTACTGCAGAGTAATAAATATATTCTCTCATTCTTTCTGTCTTCATCATCTTGTGCACTAACAATTGATATCTAGAGTCCTGGTTCGGATTCACAGAGAAACACAGGAATCACAAGTAAAACGGTGAGGTGTTGTATAATTGATTTCGTTTCTTGAATTCGTGTTGAATCTTGAACGAAATCGTAACATAATCACAATTTTTTTATTCTGTGGCATTGAGAAACACTATATTTGGTGAGATCTGAGTGACTTGTACAAGGTTGAAGATGAACGGAAACAGTACTCTGAGCACCAAACTTCCAGTGTTTGATGGCAAGAATTGGAATCACTAGATGATTCAGATGCGCATGTTGTTCGGTGCTTAAGATGTTCTTGAGCTTGTTACCGAAGGTTACGTTCCGGTTATAGCGGATGCGACAAAAGAACAAAGAAACATGCAGAGAGACAAAAGGAAAAAAGATTAGAAGGCGTTGTTCTAAATTCATCAGTGTGTGGATGTGAACGTGTTTGAGAAAATCGCTAATACGATGACTGTGAAGGGCGCGTGAGACACGCTGGTTAGGTGTTACAGTGGTGACACATCAGTGAAGAAAGTGAAGCTTCAGTCCCTATGAAAGCAGTATAAGAATCTCAATATGAAGGACAACGAGAAGGTATCTGAGTACATCTCCAGAGTGATTCGAATAACTAATGAGATATAAGTTTGTGGAAAAATCCTTTCTGAACAAATAAGTATAGAGAAGGTATTAAGGTTTCTTACCCCTCAATTTGATTACATTGTTGTAGCAATTGAACATTCTAAAGATTTGGACACCATGAGAATAGAAGAGCTACAAAGCAGTTTAAAGACGCAAGAGTTGTGTCTGACTGAGAGAACTTCTGAAAGAGAAGTTGAGCAGACTCTGAAGGCTTCTTTTGTCAAGAATGACCAGAACCAGAAAAAACAAGATAGGTCTCAGAAGTCAGAAGTCTTTTATTTTAATGAGAAGAAACATCATAATGGAAAGTAAAAGTATGACAAGAGAATGGTTCAGTGTTATTGATAGAATAACTTTGACCACTTTGCTAAAGATTGTTGGTCAAACAAAGAAGAAGAAACAAAAATAGCTAGATGTGATTCAAATGATGAACTTGTGCTATTAATGATTTATGAATTTGATGAGCAACCTGTGCGATTTTTATTTTCTGATTCTGAAGGGGAAGAAGATAACATTGAAGATTCTGAAGATGAGTTAGAATTTGAGGTTTTTAAAGATGAGTCAGGGTTAGAAGATGACGCTGAAGACAAATCAGAATCTGAAGGTGATTCTGAGTCTGAAGAAGAATTAGAAGATGAGTCAGAATCTGACGGAGATTCTACTTCTGAAGATGAATCAGAACCTAAAGGTTCTAAAGATGAGTCAGAACTTGAAAGTTCTGAAGGTGAGTCAGAGTCAGAAGATGAAGAATCTTCTGGAGACTCTGAAGATGAGTCAGATGGTGAATCAAATTTTAATCCAGATTTTGAATCTGGTGGTGATCATGCTTCTGAAAGAGAAAACTCTAAAGGTGTATGTTATGGAGGACAAGCTTTTATATATTATCATGTTTTTGATGGTAATGATGACTCTGAAGGTGGACCTTCTGAAGGAGGAGCTTCTAAAGGTAGTCCAACCTCTATCGGTGGTCATATTTTTGAAGGTGGAACTTCTGAAGAAAGAGCTTCTGAAGGCGATCCAAGTTTTGAAGGTGGTGTTGTACTCCAAAATTTTCCCTCTCATTTCTCAAGTAATCTCTCACAAGATCTCCTTGGATTCAAGACTGCACAGGGTTGATCAGCTCAAGACACCTCCTCTAGCACTGATGACTGAAAATTAGGGTTTGAGATTGCACAAGGACAAATAGACTTTTAATTCCCCGTATGACTTTCATGGATCATTTTGGACCCTCAAGATTGCTCATGTCAAGTTTCAAGTCTTGGATCACATTTTTGCTCAGTCAATTGATCAGTTGACCTAAAAATCAGTTGTATTGGGGAAAAAGTCAATTATGGTCAATTTACAGTTAAACTTTATGATTTATGGTTCATATCAACATTTTGAACTCATATATGTCATTTGATCAAGTTTGGATCATAATTCCTCAAGAAATTTGATCAGATCATCAAAAGGGTAAAATGGTCAAAATTAGGGTTTTGACTAAGAATGTGCAATTTCTGATTTTTGACCTAGAAAATGTTTGATTGGTTTAAGTTATGATCTCAAGGATTAAATTGCATCATTTTGACCTAATGTCATGGCTCAAAACATTGCTCAAGATCAATTGATTGATAGATGAATTTTCAGTCAACTGATCAAAAGTCAATTGTACATTGAAAAGTCAAACTTTGACTTTTTGGTCAAAATCAAGTGTCAAAGATCACAATTCATCAAAATATGAAACTTTTTCATCAAGAAATCAAAAAGTCAATATTTCATTTTGAAAAGTCAAAATTTCTAAACTTAGAAATTTTTCTAAGTGTTGGAAATTTCATATTTGTTCATAACTTTGAGCAAAATTTTCACCATGATGCAAGATGATTCAAAGGAAACTTACAACATGAAAGTTATAGATATCAATGAGATATAAAATATTGTAGAACATAACTTCTCCTAGAAATGCATGGATTTCAAGTTATGATTTTGTGAATACATGTTCATGAAACTTGGAAACTTAGTGAAATTTTGCCCTAGTTTAGGCAGGATTTTAACCTAACTTCATGGCAATTTTTCACATAATTCCAAGATGAATTTTCAAAAATGTCAAACATAGAGGTTTTAGAGGATGTTAAAATTTTTCCAAAATATCCAAGAACTCATTGAGATCATGTTTAAGCAAAGAGAATCGAAGACAAGAAGTTGGACATTCATTCTTGAATTATAGGTCATTTTCATGATGAACAAGAATTCAAATCTCAAGTCCATGCTGCATAAATCTTACTTTGAAGGATTCTAACATCTAAATCTATCCATAATCAGAAGATTACACAACTATTTGAGCTATGATCCAAGTGTTTGAGTCATTGTCCAAGTGATTATTCCATTAATGGAACAAAATTCACACTTCCATTTTAGAAAAGTGACTTTAATCACAAAGTCAATGCATAGAGCTCCTAACTTATTTCATCTTAACACAAGTAATGTCAAAGGCAAAAGCAACATGTTTAGAGCCTCCCATAAACTCGGGCCATGCTTGTACTATGCCTTGAAACCATGTTTTCCACTTTTCTTCAAAATTAAGTAACATGGCCATAACTCTAGATCTCACAGTTATGTCAACCTCAAGCCCTCTAACCTTTTTCATATAACTATACAAGTTATTTGCAAGCAAAGGCACGATTAAAAACACTTTCAAACTCCCTGAAAACTCAAATTGCACAAAAAACTCCATTGTTGTGCAGAACCTGGCCACAAACTCCCATTCTCAAACCACTCGTGCGTTTCTTCTCCAAATCATCTCAAAAGCTTCCTTACTTCAAATACAACGCATCCCAATCCCTGTTCCTAAACTGTAACTCCATCTTCATCGACTTCCATAGCCAAAAATAGAGAATTGCAGTTGGACTTCTCCAGACCGTTTCAGCCACTCTCAACTTAATCTAAGCATTGCATTAGCTTCCTAGAGACTCAAGGAAGCTAATCTGATCATTACAGCACCTTGAATCAAGCTCAAAATCATTTCACGATTTTTAGTTTTGAGGTATTTTTCTTGAACTTCTATCTCACTATTTAGGCATTGTTAGGCTTGTATTTGTGAAGATAAAATATAGACATCATTGCCCTGAAATTATACATCTCCATAGATTTAATTTATGTTGCTTGAGTAGGGAGAATTTTGAGTTTGAACCTCTGAAAATATTTAGGTCAGAATTTAGTATTGTTAGAAATTCATGCTCATCTTTGAGAATTAACTTAAGTTATTTACATATTCAGAATCGTGAGGAAATTTCTAACAAGTTTGATATTGGAAGTTTTGTGAATGAAATGAATAAGTTACAGGTCCTTTTCCTGGAGGTTGAAGATGAAGTTCATTCAGGGCAAAACTTATATTATATATTTGTTGTTTTGTTTAAGTTAACGGATGTATCACTGCCCCAGTGGTTAAAGTGCGCGCCTGTCACCTTAGGGACCTGGGTTCGACCCCAGTGATACCCTTTTTTCATATTTTTCTTGTTTCTGTTTTGCAACACAGGCGCTGGGCCTCCCCCATTTCTTTGTTTTTGTTTGCTAATTCCTGACTCCCTGCCTCCTCATACACCCCTGGCCCAGCTTCTATTTATTTTATTTATTTCACTTATTATTTTTATTGGCATTCTATATTTTCTTTATTATTTATATTACTATTATTATTATTAGTATTATTATTATTTATTAATAAAAATTCAAAAAAAAATTTATTTATTATTTATACTTATTTATTTTTATTTTTTTATAAAACAAAAAAGATTAAAAAACATTTTCTTTTCTTAAAACAAATTAATTTCTTTTCTTAAATAATTAATATTTAGATAATTAGATTTAATCATTATATTATCCTCTTGTAAATTAAAATTAATTTAGAACTTAGGTTTATTTTAATTAGTCAATTCTCATTTTATTTTCATTATTTAAAACTTTTTCCTAAAAAACCCTAAAAACTCTTTTAAATTAATTTCTTTTCTTATTTAGTTTAAGTTAATTTTAGTTAATTTTCATTAATAATTTTCTTAATTAAGTTAAAATCCTTTCATGAAAACCAAACAAAAATAATTTCTTTTTCATTTGCATTTATACATTATTTATTCAATTCTTGTACATTTATTCGATATGGTTGTAATAGTTAATTAGATTTAATTTTCTTGCAAACCCCCCATTTGTAAATTTGTATACCCCCTCCCCTAATGATGTAATAGCTTAGTATTTTTACTTTCTGCAATTTACCGTTTTATATAAATGCTAGTAAATTAGGGTTTGTATGGAAAGACTAAAATCAACAAGTTAGCAAACCCTAATTCAAGACAAAACAATGCATGTAAATCAACACACTTGCACACTTGCACCCTTAGGGTAATACCACTTTGTTTCCTTACCAAAATGGCCATGTTATGCATGTGGGATATCTTAGCCAAAAGCAATCAAAAATACAAGATCATAGTTCCTCGATGACGCTATCAAATATTGCCTTTCAAAATGATCTTAGTCCCTCAAAGAGAATTGCTAAGATATCTCACAACATTGCTATCATGACTATACGATGATCCACACCCGTCCCTTTACATCCAAAGATAGGGCTTCTTACCAAATCAATGGTAATATAGAAATATCAAAGGAAAGGAAGAAATGAACTAAGACTTTTGAGTAGGTGGATTGTTCCTAGTTGCTTGCTCAATTTCAAATCAAAACACTCTTGCTTATTTTCAAAACAAACACCAACACTTTCAAAAACACTTTCAAAATGTTTTCCAAACTTGAAACATTTTCAAAAGATCAACACTTTGTATACGTTCTTACGAACGAGAACTATTACAAAATTTTCCTAAACAAAGGCGCCTTTTCAAAATACTTTCAAAAACCACACAAAGCACATTTTCAAACAAAAGCAAGTGATCTATCAAGCAACTAAGAGCCCATAGATAACTATAGATGAAAAGGGTGCTAACACCTTCCCTTTTCATAATCTATCCCCCGAACTCAAGAAAAAATCTCAAAGGTCTTTCCTGTTCTTTTCATCCTTTTCTTTTGGATAAAAGAAAAGTCGATGGCGACTCTTACTAACCGCAACATTTGCGATAAAACACAAAACACCCAAGTCAGTTCTCCCACCGTATCATAGGTGGTATTTATGAAGGTAGTAGTTCTAGATGAGGTCTAGAAGTTATCAAAGGTGTAGCTTCTGGTGGAAGTCGAACTTTTGAAGAAAGTCCAGAAGGAGATATTATTCCAGAGTCAGAAGGAGATTCTGAATAAGTTTAGAGGCCACAAAGAATCAGATAAATACCAAGGAGATTTACAGAGTTTGACAAGCTGCAAGATACTGAAGAGACTCTGAGATATGGAGTGTTATTTCCTTATAATCTGAAGACTGATGCAAAGTTGGTTGTTATTCAGACTCTAATTGGTGTGGTGACAGGGTTGATAAAAGAAGTACTTCTGGATATGTTTTCAAGTATCTAGAAAGTCCCATTTTTTGTGCTCCAAGAAACAATTGGTGGTTGCGTTTTAAGCCTGTGAAGTTGTCACGACTAAACATCTTATTCGTTTGTGGGATGAATTTGGTGTTGTAGACTTTGGTTAGCTGAATATTAATTAAAGGATGATGTTGGAAGTAGTTCATATTCAGAAGCTACTGTTAAAGTCAGAAGCAGAAACTTCTGAGGTTGCGTCTCAGAAGTATGTTTAACTTCTGAGGTTATAGTTGTTTTGTTTACTTAACTATTAAATTTACCTTTTTGTTAGGACCTACGTAGCAACTTAGTTTTTGTGTATAAATAGACTAGTAGTAGTTGTCTTTTAAATCTTAATCTTTTATACTTTTGTAGCCGTCATTACAGAGTAATAAGTATTATTCTCTCATTCTTTCTATCTTCATCATCTTGTGCCCTAACAAAATAATTCAAGAAATTATATAAATTTACTATTTTGAGTAAGTATTACTTAAATGAAACTCCTTTGACATGTTTTTCTTAGTTGTATTAGAGATTATTTTTATAAAAAGGTTTTCATTTGTAGTGGCGGTAGAGATTTTGCTCATCCAATTCTTCAAAAATCTCTATATTATGAACAACATTGAGATGCATATTAATCATATTATCTTATTG